GGACACTCTTGTGGGACACTCTTGTGGGTCACTCTTGTAGGAAACTATTGTGGGACACTCTTACGGGACCCTCTTGTGAGACACTCTTGTGGGACACTCTTGTGGGACACTCTTGTAGGACACTGTTGCGGGACACTCTTGTGGGTCACTCTTGTAGGAAACTATTGTGGGACACTCTTACGGGACACTCTTGTGGGACACTCTTGCAGGACAATCTTGTGGGACACTCTTGCGGGACACTGTTGCGGGACACTCTTGTGGGACACTCCTGTGGGACACTCATTTGGGACACTCTTGCGGGACACTCTTGTGGGACACTCTTCTAGGCCCTCTTGGGGGACACTCTTGTCAGACACTCTTAACTCTTGTCAGACACTCTTGTGGGACATGGTTGCGGGACACTCTTGTGGGGCACTCTTGTGAGACACTCTTACGGGACACTCTTGCAGGACACTCTTGTGGGACACTCTTGTAGGACACTCTTGTGGGACACTCCTGTAGGGCACACTCTTCGTACGAGACTTCCTCCAAAAGTCACGCTGCGAGGCTGCAAGACGAGCGTTTCGTACGAGACTTCCTCCAAAAGTCACGCGCCAAGTCTCAAAAACGAGCGTTTCGTACGAGACTTCCTCCAAAAGTTACACGTCAAGTCTCCAAAACGAGCGTTTCGTACGAGACTTCCTCCAAAAGTCACATGTCAAGTCCCCAAAACGAGCGTTTTGTACGAGACTTCCTCAAAAACTCACATGTCAAAGTCTGCAAAACGAACGTTTCGCACGAGACTTCCTCCAAAAGTCCAGCGGAAACACCCATCGGAGCACACACATCACGCAGCCCTGCCAAGCAGTTTCGCGATTCCAGCCCCTCCAAACGACACCCGCTCACACGCCAATCCCAATGTGACAGCGACATTCACCTCTACCACAACCCACAACCTCCCGATTCCCTGCGCCTGCCACGAATCTTTCCGCGTCCACATGTCTAACGCGCACAAAGTACTGCGCCTGCCACGGAATGTCACCTCCGACACATCGCAACCTCACGATTCCCTGCGCCTGCCACGAAAATCCCACTTCCACACCTCAAAACCCGCACAAAGTCCTGCGCCTGCCACGAAAAGTAACAATGTCATCTCATGTGAGCTTCAACAAAATTTGCACCACACCACACGTTTGGAATGATTTCGACCCGTTCTGAGCACACTCCCATCCACCAAAATCGGCATTTCAGCTGAGACTTGTCACGAAAACAGAGCTTTGATGCCACACCCTGAAACGCAAATCCCAATGGCACGGCCACATCCAACACCCCAAAAACACGACTCTCCAAACGCTAATCCCAATGGAACTGCGCAGCAATCTGCAGATCTCACCAAACGCTGCGCCTGTGCAGCGAAAGGCATCACGTTGCTTGCGCGACATGTCTTTCTCATGCAAATCACAATGGAATAGCGGCGCAAACTGACACGGGACACATCCATGAAAAGTCACTTGCAAAAGCTTCCCCCAATGGCAGCGCCTTAGCGACCTACTGCGGACGGTTGCGGACTCTACCCCCAGACCCCCAGAGTTAAACGAGAACCCTTCGCTACGCATTCGGGAACATGATTGGGAAGTAACTTGCAAATCTGCAGCAGTCCAGTCTAAGCCATCAACAAAAACACAGAAACCCTATCACGCTGCAATCGTTTACGACAAAAAGGGCAGAACTGTCTGCAACGCTTTCAAGCGAACATCTGATATCCTCCCCTCCACAACATCCTCAGAATTGAACCCCCAAGGCGCGTAGTGGTAGTGTTGGTCAAAACATGTCAAACATGGCCCCGAACGATGTTGAAGGGGATTTGCATGATGTCCCTACCCCTACCGAATCCAAACAAATCACATCTGGCTTCCGAACAGAACGTTCTTCACTCTTTGACTTTCCGACACCCCGGCGACCGGTCGCACGTGGCCCTTCGGCTCGGAAATGAGTCAAACATCACATGGGCCTGCTGAAAGATGTGATGGGCATTCCTTTAGGCAACCGTGGTCAGGGTATCAAAACGGACCGTTCTTGTTGCAGAACGCGCCAACTCGAATTGCAGATTGTTGTGTATATATGGATCAGATTTGTTTTGTGAAGTCACACCATGGCCACACCTTCCTAATGAGTTTTGTTTTGTCGCAACATCAGGTTAGCCGCAGACACTGTGCTGGTGAAACGAATCAGTTCGATGACTTGCAGAATGGCGCGCCCACTCCACCCCGATCCGGACCACTCCCGCCGATCCGCCCATCACGGCAGCTCTGACAGCACGGCGTCAGCTGTCGCAGCGAAGCAGTTTCGTGCAGAACGCTGCGCCCAACTGACAGAAAATGCATTGGCTGTGACAGGTCGAACGTAAAAAACACTTAACCCAAATGCTCCCAAATGGTTATGATCAGAACACCCCAGATCACTGACTATCACACCGGCTGCACTTTTGGCCACGTGGCAATCTCATCCACCCACTCAATCTGCTCCACTTCCACCGTTTTGCGGCTCTTCACCACCTGGCGTAGTGAGGATCCAAATAAGATCCAGGAGTGCCATGGTTTTGGTCAATCGCCCTTGAGGCAAAGGGGCAAAGGCCCAGCAGTGTTGTCCCACAAAATGATGCATGATTCATGATGCAAATTGAGGAAACTTCTTGTCGAATTTGGGATATTGATTTTTGTTTTTTTGCTTCAACATAGCAGTTTAACAGCCAATCACTAGGATTTGTTTTGGTTTTAATGCCTCCTGCCAAAAAGAACCAACAAGAGAGAAGATCCAGACCGCGAACAAACTTACCATAAGTCACATGGCCAAACATATGTTACTTGAAATCATGAGAACCAAAATATACATCATGCCTGGCCACAGACTGCAAAATTGAATGTTCACGGCAAACCACTTTTTAATCTTATGCAAATACATTGCACACACCTTGCACATGCACTTTACAGTACGGGCATCACCCATCCAACACATTCACTCACTCACTCACCCACCCACTCAGTCACGCCGAATGTATGACGAAACCCACGTAAGGGGCACCTTTGGCACGGCAATGTGCTTGTGCACGGGGATCTCCACCACCCTGTCCTATGTGCGAGCAGGTAAGTTTCCCAAGATATGGAAGGCTGTTAGTCCCAGACCGTCCATGGGACTGGAGCAGCTACAAAAAGTACCCCATGTTTGAACCTAGTGCATCATTATATACCAGCACCCTCCAAGAGGTCACCACCTACGACTTTTGTCAGCAAAAGCGTCCGAAGGAGACCTGTTGGAGGGCGCTGGTATATATATATATATATATATTGTATATTATTCCAAGTCCATACGTGGATCGTCTGGGCATACTTATTATTAGGACGCGGACCTCGGCTCCACTGCCATGCCACGGTTGATCCAACGTCGCCGGCGCCTGAAAATCGCCCTTCGTTCTGCCATCGGAAAGAGAGAACTCCTTTGGTCCAGGGATTTTCCTGACTGAGATAGGTTGTTGAAAAAACCTTCTGCTCCTGTTAAACAGCCTCTGCGCATGTTGTGAAGATCGCATATGGTTGATCCAACGAAAGACTGTGTCTGATTCCATGGCTGGACCGCGGCTCCGTATAGCCAAAACCTATCAAGGCATTGCTGTCGAGGACCTTCCTCATTCGTCAGCAGAGTGATCATGCTTCCACGTCGGTCGACGGGTCCTCCACATCCCATTCGACACTCGTGGGGATTGGCTTCAATGTCGCTGAGGGGGCAGCGCAAGCCATTAGGTGGGGCCTACTTTTATTATGCTGCCTCCTAGTGGGTGGTCTATGCTTTGGGAGGCACCTCTCAGAATGCCATGCTGAGTGCCCAAGTTCTGAGAAGGACGAAAGAATTTTAAACAAAAAGACACTCAAGGATTTGGAGAGAACACATGGGTATCCATGGGTATCCAGACCGGGGAGGTTCCTGCCAAATGGCAATGGTTCGCAACACAAAGCATCCGACCGTAGCTCCTCGAAGCAACGATTCCGGTGCTTTGCGATTTTGGCCACAAAAACCACAATATCTCACAGTCAAATCACAGTCCAATTGTAGATCCCCACAAGACAACACACTCACACTGCCAATATATGTCAGCTATAATCTCTCAGATTGGAACACCCTTCTTGGAAAAGACACTTACTTCTCACAATGGTGTTTGCAAACTGTACAGATGAGAATTCGCTGCCCAGTGGTTAGAATCTTGCAGCACATGCACGAAGCACAAATCACCGTCCGGACTTCAACTCTGAATGTTCAAGGCCTTGGTTGACCTACGTGGAAGGTCATAGTGGACTGGTCTGGCTCCAGGTTTTGACCCACAGCCATATGGGATGGGCTGTGGGGATGTTCAACCTCTCTGTCTGTGGCGCAGCCAGAGGCTCAACTGGAGCCTTTCTATAAAGCACTCTTGCTTTGGCCGGATTTGACCCAGTCGGAAGAGGATTACGCTCTAAAGCTCCATCATTCATTCAATGAACTGATGGATGAGTCCCTACTAATTGAGGGTATACAATGCAGACCATGTGAGGCAATGTGAAGACGTGAACGCATGGTGTTTTCTGTTCGTCACTTGCAGCCAGTTAAAACCATTTGGCGGACACCAAGGTATACTGTAGCTGCTCTTTTCGGTAGCCATTTGGTAGTCACTCTGAGCTATCCTGTTGTACAGCTCTTCAAAGTGACTGAGGAGCGACTTTCAGTGGCTGTCCAGTGGCAGGTGGCTATTAAGTGGCTGGGTCTTCCCAGTCCCAACCTAGAAACACATGCCAGGAGTCACAAGACCGGGTGGTGTTTAGTCCCATCCAGTGAGTGGATGTTCTGGGCACCCTTAACCTCCATGGATTGCACCCCGTCGAACGTGACTGCTGGTGGTGATTCAAATGCGGTTGGCTTGAGATCCTTTACATAAGACAATCCAATCCAATGGGTGTGCTGGCTGGAGATCCCAACCTAAGTAGTGGAGTAGTTGAGCCAGCACACCCAGTCACAGGATGGTCCTGGTAGGATGGTCGGCTGGGCTGCAGAGTTTCATCCAGAATCTGGAAGTGCTTGGGACTGGGTGGCATTCGGTGGCTGTCAAGTGGGCTTCTCGAAAATTGAACATCGCCACCTCAACCCAAACACTCCATGTATGGTGTATATACCAGGACCCTCCGGACTTGGGGTGTCTATTGATAGCCCCTGAACGCTGTGATTCGGGGTGTCCATGAATCACCCCTTGGGGGTCCTGGTATATATATATATATATACCTAGAACCCATTTGACCTCTGTTTTGATAGGAAAAGACAATCTTTTGGGTGGTTTGTGGTCCAAAATAGAGGTCATTCAGGTTCTAGGGATATATATATATATATATGGCAGTTGGGTCATGTCACCCGGGCTCAGAAAATCCGGTGTAGCTTTTTCTGTCCGGGATGGGACAACTCCAGCGCGTCCCGGTGGCCCAGCTTGCCACTAGCGACCAAGCTTCATTGACCCAAATCAACCACCCCTGCCTGTAGTAATTGCAGAGTCCAGGAGGGCGGTCGCCCAAAAGCTGAACCAATTTCTTCAGTTGGTGACCTTTTTGTCCGACCGTTTGTGGCCTGTTACAGGTCGAACGACCTCAAAGCAACCAAGAGATCAAGGACGGTCACGAACTGAAGAACCAGGTCCCGAGCTAAAAGATAATCGTGTAAAGAGAGAGATCTCTGGTAAACAGAGATACGGGACGAACGGTGTACAAATTAAGTACCCTATAAGAATCCGGGCCCTCAAACACATAGGTTTTGGTTCGGGCCCGGACCCCTGCTATGGAGAACCCGTAAAGAGATCTCTGGTGAACGAACTCCACCGGTTCATCGTGGGCTGATCTGCAGGTTCCATCCACTTTTCCTCGATAGCAGTAGCTGCCCAGGGGCACTCACTCGCGACCCGGGACTTGAACCTATGGTTCGGGGTCCGTGGTCGAACCAATCCCCTGGGAGTCAAAGACTATCAAAAGAATTGTCTACTTTAGGTGACCCGAAAAGCAATATGCTTTACTTCAGTGGGGCAAAATATAGTCTTTGGACTTCTAGGGAATCTGTAAGGTTAAGAAAAGAAACTATTGGTGTGTTTGGAGCGTCTGCCCAGGGCCACTCCTCGCCCGACCACGGGATCTTTGGCATTTTGGGGGGCGGGCGCCAAAAGCCCCCTCGCCCGACCACCTTTTAGCGGCAAATAGAACGAAATGATGCAGCCCCTCCCCACTGCCGTTTTCTGTGGGTGCTGATGGCGGCTTCGTATTCCGAGTTCCGTTGACCTGGCTTGGTAATCTCAAATCCTCAGTAAAACAGGTTCTAAAATTCAAAACAAATTATACCTGGACCCTCGAAGGGTGCCCAATGGAAGCCTATAGGTAGTGTGGGGTAGTCCATTGGACACCCCTTGGAGGGTCCAGGTATAGTATACAAGTTATATACACCCCCCGGCCCCACGCATATTCAAATCAATGATGGGCCGGGCCAGCACATCATCTCAATTCATGAGCGACACGGTGCAATTCTTCTTCGCGCGCGTCAGTCCGACGCGAAAAACGACGCGACCGACCCACGTCGTCGTCTTCCGCCGGTGGCTCCTGGTAAACGATCTCAGGCACCTTGGCGGTCGCGTTCGGCGTCCGAGCGATTGGGTGGCCCGCGTCCGACGGTGGACGGACTGGCGTAACGGGAAAGGCTTGGGACTGGCGTAAAGGGACTGGCAGATTTAGAGACATACCTGGGGCCCCACAAAGCATGAAAAACTTGGCTCTCCCTAGCAAAAAAAAATGGATGTCCCTGGTAGATTGGATTACATTAGGGTGGTTGAAGTTGGGCTCAATGTAGGCATATATACCAGTCCCAAACAGGTCGTGTCTGGGATTAGCCGCTGAAAAATTAGCCAGACATTGGTGGTTGACCTGGGGTCAATGTACCTGGACCAGATTGATCCAGTAGAGAAAATGGGACATGACCCGAACACACAAAGCAGGTATACAAGACCTTCCATTATTTTTGAGGTACGAACTAAGACTCCAGGTATACATGTCCTCACTAATATCTTGTTCCAAACAACATGTTGGTGCAACATGTGTATTTTTTTTTCATCTATAACGCCAGTATGGCAGACATTTTGCATACCAGGGGGCCCACAAACCATCAACAACCTGGTTTTTGTATGTGAATTCCTTTTTTTTCATGGTTTGGTTCGGGCCCCTGGTAGTTGGAAGATCCAAACATTCTGCCGCCCGATCGATAGGTGACATCAACCACCCCTGGACGTTGCCAGGACCTGCCAGTCCCAAACCGATGGTTTTTGGGTGAAGAGAGATGCGGATGAGGAGTGGTTGACCATGGCCCTCGAGCTTTAAGAATCCTGTGTACCCTCCGCAGGGGTTGACCATGGCCCTCGACATCGGAGGTGGAAGACGCCCGGAGATCAACAGGGAGGAGGCTTTTTGGGAGCGCACTGCTGAGGCGTTGGATCGCTTGGAAAAACCATCCACATGATTATGATGATCCCACAGGCAGCTTCCTGGCACAACGACATGTTTTCTTCTGTGCCTTTCAGTGCCCCATGAGGCCTCTTGAGGTCTGCTACCCGAAACACTCCTGGTCGGTCCGACCGTGAGGGGGGCTGCGAGCATCTGCTACCCAAACCACACTCCCAGGCAACAATCATGGAAGTAGACAGTTGTCATCAATTGGCCCACTGTTTCCAGACCATGAAATCCGAATACCAAACAGAGGGTACAACTGAGGGTTGTCCACTGAGGGTACCACATCTCTTACAGCCTCCTTTTGGGAAAGTTGGAAAGTGGAAGAGCCCCCCCATACCCAGACACTCCATGGGACTGCTATATGCCTACATTGACCCCCAAAACCACCCCAACTGATCGGCATATATGGCAGTCCCATGGAGTGTCTGGGATATGTTTCGAGCGAGGGGGGGAATCCCGTTTACCAATCAGGATCCTGCATTATGGCCCTCACCCTCACCTCTTCGCAGGGGTGTGGACCCAGTTCCCAAAACCTAAAAGCATTGGATCCGGATTCTGAGGGGAGTATGCAAGAAAAAAGTATTGATAATACCACTGCAATACCCTTCAGCCTATAGCCTTCGATTCCGTGACCATCAACACAAATATAGAAAAGACCTGGTTTTGCAGTGGAGAATCCTTAGATATCCGTTGTTTTCGGAATTCAGCCTATTGAATGGTGGGCCAGGAATCCTGGGAACGACACCCAACAGCCACTTGTATCTTTCTTTGTCGTCCGCCTTCGGCTGGCGATGAACGACATGGCAATTCCTACCACTCAACTATCCTAGGGCTCCAGTCGTACCTTCTAAGAAGGTGGGACTTGGGTGGGTCTAGAAGGTCGAGTCATACCTTCGTTTCGTTTCGGTACGACTGGAGCCGATCTACTCACCTCGAACCCAAGGGGTCGCTGCTCCCAAGTCCATCGTTCACATCCCCACGTTTCAGTGCCATCAACTCCTTCCCCGTCTTCCCCCGGCCTCCACCGTCTTCTGAACGACCTGCGGTTTCGCTGCATCGGCGGTCGTGGCACCTGGAACCCCAGGGCCTCTGGTGGGTTGGCCTCCCAGTAGTCCATTCGGTTAAGAGGGAGGTCAACCTACCAAAGGCCCCCCATGGACTGTCATAAGAGGACTACTGAGAGGGCAACCTACTGGGACGGACCTACTGGGCAACCAGTAGTTAAAATGGTTCATTTTGGGACTGGCATTCAGTTCGGCCCCATTGAGCCCGACTTCCACCAGCCAGATCAGGTATGGTTCTCTAGATCGGGGTGTGGGGTTTCCGGGACCACGCGTCTGGGTAGGTCTATTCCCTTTTCGGTTGAAGGACAGGCTTCCCGATCAAACCCCAAGCAACCAAACAAATGCAAAAGGAAATTTGATCTCCGCAGAATGCGATGTCACACGATGCCAAACATCCAGACGCTCTGTGAAAACCGGATTTGACCCAAACAGATCCATATGAGGGTCCGACCCCTCCATATGAGGGTCCACGATATGAGCGCCTGGGTTGGCATATTATCCCTATAGGCTTCATCGATTACCAATTAAATAGCCTTCCCGGAAAGCATGTTTTTTGCAAAACGAGGACTATCTTCTTGCCGGCTATTCCTTGCCTCCAACCAAGCTCAAGAACCGTAAACAAACCGTAGAAGAAACATGTTTTGGCGTAGAACGCCCGTTTTTTTGCCGTGGAAGAGTCTTCAGAGGCATGGAACCTGGCCTCACACAGCATATATGAACAACCCGATCACGGGTCAATCGAGAGGAAGTGGATTTCACACAAAAAAACACTTTTCCCAGACGTTCCTGGACCATCATATGCAGGGGTCGGACCCTCACATGGAGGGGTCTACCCTCAAATCCCTATGGTTTTGGGGGACCAAGGGCTGTTTGGAGCGTCTTAAGGTTCCGCAAAAAAACCGTTCATGCAACAACACACGTTATAAAAACATACCCTCCAAATCAAAGGCCTCGTTTTACTGGGCTCTATTTCTGCAAAACTGATAGCAAAATTCGACCTCCAAAAATTTTTCGTGGAAATGGTGGAAAGCCCGACTTTACTCCGTAAAGGACGTTTTTTACATTGGCAACTATAAGAAGCAAAGGACGTCTTTTACTTAGTGAAAGACGTCTTTTACTTGGCAAATGGTAAAAGTAAAAGACGTCTTTTACTTTATGATACTTTATGCATATATGGAGCACATATACATGGCACGATGTTTGTGAGTCAACATGCTGCACCAATGGTTTTCCAGGAGCGTTTTGGTCTACTTTCCGTTTCGCGCGAACATCGCACAGACAAAATATTTGTGGCAACAAGCGCATGCATATCATATAAGTGGCGCCAGGCGGCTAGATCTTTTTAATATGAAGCGAGGTCGATCCGTTACAACACAGACAACGCATGTGGTTGAAATTGGCCGTTTCTGGCCCGGGCATGGGACCGTGACTCTACCGTGACTCTCGCGTGACTCCCACCTAAACCACTTAGTAAAGGACGTCAAAAACTTCGCCATGGACATCATTGGGCGTGACTCTATAGCATGGGACCTGCAAGCGTCTAATGCGATTTGACGATGAACTGTCATCGGTTTGAACAATGCACGTGTGCAATGGCAAGCAGCAAACATGACTCCCACGTAGCCACGTATATCATGGCAATGTAATTGGTCAATTGAGCAAACAACCTGCGCAAAAAAAATACACCAAGAAAAGATTTGCGCGCGTGGACTTGCGTGAGGCATGGCGCCGCTAAAAGTGAGCGTATGGGTACCATGTCTCCGGTATGCATGCACATATGTATGCGTATAAGGTGTATAAGGACCATCGAACCCAAAAGAATGAACCATGGAAATTACCTTGATGCCCAAAGAAAATTTTGTGGAAGTGGTGATCTTAAGGTGAAGGAGTCTTCCGTGGAAATGGTGACCTGAAAGTTTTTGAAGGTCAAAGAAAATGTGACCTCGGAAAACTGGGTCGTTTACAGCAGGACCTCGTAAAACTGGTCCTTTTGAGGTGGAGGGATACCTTTGAAGCATTAGGTTATGATATCCGCCGACCCCTGCCTAGCTGACGCCTAGGCGGGGCGGCGCCGGGGACACCGCAGGAAACAGTTGGCCAGCCAAGCAGATCCAGATCGTTTCGCCGTGCAGTCGCTGTTTTTTTTGTGCCCAGGCTGGAAACCTTCCGCTGCGACGCTAGATTGCAGGTTTTTGGAACGTGCCAGGCAACTGTTCTATGGGCTTTTCAAGGCAACGTGCCAGGCGAAGTGCCAAGCAACGTTAGGCATTTTGGCTGGCTGCACCCCCCCCGTTCCCGCCGCTGTTGTGGGCAGAAATAGATGGTGTCGTTTGCCCGCCGGGAAACCCTCCGTTGCGGCTGCATTCTGCAGAAAGGGAGCCTTGGGAGGGAGCCTCTGGCACGTGCCGCTGCGACACCAGCCCGTTTTGGGCAGTCTACAGAGCAGGGCTGCCTGTAAACTGCAGCCTCGGGAGTCAGCCTCTGGAACCTGCCAGGCAACTGTTCTATGGGCTCCTGAAGGCAACGTGGCTCGTCCCCTTTTGGTGCCCGCCGGAAACCCTGCGCAGACGTTAGGCAGTTATACACTGGCCACACCAGCCTAGAAAGCCTTGGCGACTTTAGGGTTTCGAAAGCAATGTTAGGCACTGGGCACCTCCCTGTTCCAAAGGAGGACGCCGTCTCTCCAAAGGAGGACGCCGTCTCTCCAGAACAGGAACCAGGTCCTTCAAAGCGGCCAGCAATGAAAAATGCTGCGCCAAGAAAAAAGAGAAAAGCAAACGTAAGGGATCTTCCAAGAAGTAGAAAGGGAAGAAACACGATGTCTACTGTTCAGTTAGCTCTTCAACCGATGACCACTCCGATGACCTTGATGACCCTCCCAAAGACAACGATGGTTTCAGAGGACTTGGTGAGGGAAATGTCAGCCAGAACGCTGGACCAGGCTTTGCAACGCTCCGCGGACGCCGAGAGCAAAGCTATCATGGACACATTCTTTGAGGCTGGGGTCACTGGGGTCTTTGTGGGTCGCTGCAATGTGTTTCTTTCTGCTGCATGTTGTCGTGAGAACAAACAGTCAATCTTTTGACATCTTATGACCCATGGCAGTGGAATGTCGACTTCATGAAGGACCTGGCTGAGGAATGCGTCTATGCCTGGAAGGACTGCTGTCATTGCTAACATGTCATGAGAAATGAGAAATGAGTCACCCAATATTTCCCTGCCATTGACCCACAGTGATGCATGTTTCACACTGACTTCAAGTTTAAGTCCAAGCTCGCGCCACACCTGCGTGTCTTGCAAAGGTGAGCCAGGAAAAAAACATCACCGGCTTGACCGGCGGTTGACTGGCTTTGTCAGTCACTGCCCAGAATGCTCGGCACTAGTGCCCTTGGCATGGATCTCGGTGTGGTCCCATCGATTTGCCCTCCAGTCTGGCCACCACCAACTCCATTCATCATCCCTCATCCATTGCGGGTTTGAAGACACTTTGGTGACAGTGGACGTTTCAGAAGTGGATGCGCTCTTAGTCTTGGATGACTCGACTTTCTTCTGCGACCAACGGTCCTCAAAGCTCTTGTATGCTTTTGCGGCCTTTGCATCATTTGCAGGTCCATCCACCGGCCTTTTCTTGGGGGCAGGCCGGTGGCGCACTTGGATTGTCATTGTGCCATCATCAGAATCCTCACCCAGCAGGACTTCTTCCTCTTCTTCAGGCTTTGAAGTCTTCTTGGGGATGTGTGGCTTGTATGGATTTGGCCTCTTCTTGGGCGGGCTGACCTCACTCGCGCTGGAGCTCGTCTTGAGCGGGCTGACCTCACTCGTGCCGGTGCTCATGAGCCGCGGTGGAATGACCCTGGGCGTATGGCCAAGATCCACAGCCACAGGACCACCGCCCTTGCCAAGATCCATCATGGATCCACTCTGCTTCTGGCCAAGATGGCCACCCTCCTTCTCGAGGTCCTTCTTGAGGTCCTTCCGAGGAAAGAAGCGAAGGCGGCCGTTGCATCCCTTCCCAAGAGCTGAGCTGAAGACCGATGGACTGGAAGGATCAAGCAGGGGCTCGCTTGAAAAAAATGGGCGGCAGCTGCTGTGTGCACATGAGGTCTCAACATTGCCCCACCCTTTCCAAATCTTGAGTTCTGGTTTATTTGGGGCAAAGTTCTGGTTCCAATGGCATTTCCTTTCTGGTTATATAATTCATCTCGCACATTTGTTTCTTCGATAGGGTATGAATCGCGCATTGACTTTGTGTTGCTGCCTGAGCGTTGGAAAGACTTTCAAGTGAACTCCTGTGTCTCTGAAGACATCGATTTGGCCATCTGGAGACACGATCATTTCGCGCCAGTCGTCACCGTCCATATGGAAAGCCAGCAGTCAGGCCAAGCGTTTCACAAACGATGCCGACTTGACCTTCGTAAGATAGGAGACCCTGCCGCGCAGCATAAGTTCCTGTCTCAAGTCCAGCGGTGTCCACCCATTTCATGGCAAGTTGGTGTAGGAGAGCATTTGGATATTGTTACCCGTCATGTTCAGTCCTGCGCTCAGAATGCTTTTGCTGTTGATCGGACCTTGCCGCGGCAGCGGTACATGAGTGATGCTACCTGGCACACAGTCCAAACTCGCAAAACATTGCTTCGTATGCATGATCGTGCTATTAAGTTGCTGACCCGTCAACGTAAGCATTATCATTTTGCCTATTGGCTAGGTCGGTTTGCTGCCATTCGTAAGGAGCCACGTCTTTTCCACATGGCCAGTGCTCGATTAAGTAACAGTACCATGATATCATGCATGCTTCGCAAGCAAGCCTTGTGGGCGTTAGTCACTCGCCGGCGGCTCCATGCCGTCACACAGGCCATGAGCCGACAGGACCGCATTCGAGAAGCGCACCAAATTGGGGAAAGATTTTTGAATGCTGCTCATTCTCAGTCATCCAAAGAAATGTATCGAGCTTTACGCCCACTCATGGGCCAAGTCCATCGTAAAGCCAATATGCAATTTCGGCCGGTCCCTGCCGTGAAGCTCGCATCTGGCGAGCTTGCGCAGACCCACGCGCAAGCCCAGGAGCGATGGAGAGCCTTCTTCGCCGCCCCAGAAGAAGGCATTTTGGTGACTTCCTCTCAGCTTCAGACTTTAGCGAAGTTGCAGGCGCTCAGGCATGAGCCTGGTGCGGTGGCTTTTGCTCGTCAAGCATTGCCGATGTTACATGAGATTGAGCAAGTCTTGTTGCGCTCCAAGCCTGGCAAAACGCCCGGCATGGACGGCCTTCCAGGCGAAGTTTTTCGGCTTCACCCGCCCTTTTTTGCCCAATTGTTATGGCCACTTTTAGCTAAATGCAGCGTTCGCTGTACAGAACCTTTGCGATGGCGAGGTGGTGAGATCTGTCCATTGCCTAAATCTCATGTCATTTCGCATCAGGTTGAGCGCTATCGGTCCATTCTTTTGGCTGACGTCACCGCCAAGGTGGCTCATGGAGTTTTGAGGAATAAACTTCTTCCGTACTTCATGCGTTTTCGTGCTAGCATGCAGGCTGGGGGTGTTCCTCGCCTCAGCACAGACATGTTGCAGCTGTTCGTCAGCTCCTTTAGCCGATGGACACGAGATCGCAAATGTTCCAGCAGCACGGTATTTTTGGATGTACAGCAGGCCTTCTACAAGGCCCTCCGTCCGTTGCTTCTCCACCAAACCATTAGTGATTCCTGTGTTGTGCGCCTGTTCCATGACAATCATTGGAACCCCGAGCTGCTGCAAGACTTCCGGCAGTTCCTTGATGGTTGCCCTGCGTTGAGTCAAGCCAATGTTCCTGAACACCTCCAGGCACAGCTCCACGCTGTGCTTTCGACAACGTGGTTCAAACTTCGGAATGACGATAGCAGTCTCACAGCGACCTTGACCGGCACCAGGCCAGGTGACTCCCTGGCTGACTTGCTTTATGGTTTTTTTGATGGGACGCTTCATTCGTGAACTTGAGGCACGGTTGACCGCTGCTGATCTCTGTGCTAAGGTGCCCTTGCACTGGTTGCCGGGAGCATCGTTGTCTGGTGATGACCATCATGTTTCATTGGTGCAGGTTACATGGGTTGACGACATTTCGCTAGTCCTTGAGGCCCAATCGCCCAATAGCTTATTGACCAAGGTTCGCCTGGCATTGAGCATTTCGTTGAGAGGACCCCACAGCCAGACTGTCTGGCGTTCTTTACTTGCGCAGGATGGAGGTCTACCGTCTGTCGCGTTCCATTGCCCTGTCCTTTTGCAACCTGCCTGTGTTTCCATTTTGCCGGATTACGTTCATCTAGGAACCTTGCAAGATCAAAGTGGCACCCCCGCTGCCGAGGTGAAAAGGCGCATGCAACTTGTTCGCCCTGCCATGCGTATGTTGCAGCGTGGCATTTTTCGGTCCAATCGCATGCCGGCCAAGACTCGCCTCACCTTGTTCCGCTCACTTGTCTTATCTAAGCTCACGTACGGAGCCGGAGGCTGGTCTGAGATGCATCTCCATACCCTGCGTTCGTGGCATACTGGCATGATGCGCCTGTTGAGCGCTGTTGCTCCCACTGCCCGCCGGGGGCCCGGTACTCGCACCCTTGACGTACTGGCTGATTGCAACACCATACCACCTTTGATGCATTTGATGCAACACCGTCTGAGCTTGTTTGATCGGCTTATGCTGACTGACACCTTTGATGAGCTGTTTGCACTCCTCCAGCAGCAGCCCGCTGACTCTGGCTGGTTTGCTCAGGTGAAGTCTGACCTTCGTAGGCTGGTATGCTTGCACCCCCATGCTGACATAGCAAAGGTGGTGGATCAGGGTGACTATGCGCTGGCAAGTCATAGCTCCAGTCACCCCAAGGTTCTCACAAAGTTTTTCAAGCAAGCCTGTTCGATTTATGCCCTTTATTTGGGATTGTGGCAAGATCTGCGATCATTTCAGCGGCACTTTCGCCAAGACGTTGAGGCATTAGGTGGACGTTTTGCCCCAGGCTCATTGCCTAGCCATATGCCCGGTCTGTTTGTCTGCCAGGATTGCGAGCGCACATTCGATACTTTTCGTGCCATGTGTTCTCATATGTTCCAGCAGCATAGGTCGGTCAACTTGGCTCAGAGGTACACAGCCTCCAATCACTGCCGAGCGTGTCTTCGTATGTATAATGATCGCGCATCAGTTGTGCACCATTTAAAGTACTACCGCACTGGCTGCCTGTTGAAACTCTTGCTCAGCGTAGCCCCCCTTAAATGATGAGGAGTTGACCGCAGTACTTGATGACCATTCGCAACAGTTGCGCACAGCTAGGAGCAAGATGCGTCGCACGCATCACCGATTCCCAGTGTGTTCGGCTCAGGGTCCACTGCGCCCATGGCCGTGGGATTTGGCTTGGCATCAGGCCACGCATGACAAGCGACCAATCGATGTTGAAATCCTTGCACATCTTTCGCCTTGGGTTGAACAACTGTCCGCTTGCCTAGACGAGCTTAACCATGCTAAATTGCTTGAATGTTTGATGCAGCGCCCTTTTCATGGAGCTCTCGTCCAAGCCTTGAGCACAGAACTGTTCCACCATGAGCGTGTCCCGCCAATAGACCAAGTTGAAGCTCGAGCCATGTTTCATGAGGCCGTGGTTTTGTGGCAGTCCTCTTCATTGTTAGATGGACCTTTCCGATGTTGGAAAATTTCCTTTGACACCGTGCGTCCGCAGCTGACGTCGCTGCGACCCACCATGTTGACTCAAGAAAACACCACTGCTACCTTGCACGGTAGACGGCGCATGGCCGTCGACGCATTGTGGCAAGAGACTGATGTTTCATTCCAAATGGGTTTGCTGGTGCAGGAAGAGTCCGCTGGCACTTGGAGTTGGCCTACCACAGTTCCTCGCCCGTTGTCTGAGTTGGCAATTTTTCTTTATGTGTTTTCAGGCAGGAGGCGGGAGGGGGATTACCAAAGCCATGTTGAACGTTTGCTGCGCGTCCATGGAGTATCTGGCCGGGTACTCATGATAGACTTGGCACTTTCGGCTAGCCACAATGTTTATGATTCAGCTTTGGTAGAGACACTATTGCACTGGATTCATGCTGGGGCCGTGGCCACGCTACTTGTGGCTCCACCGTGCGAAACCTGGTCAGAGGCCAGGAATCAGACTGGGGGGCCCCAGACCTCTGCGTACCCGTGCAGCACCCTTTGCCATAGCAGGACTGACGCATAAAGAACTGGAGCAGCTTCAGGTGTCTAACTTTTTGTTGTTTGTGGCAGTTCGATTATTTTTGTGGGCCGTCATGTGCGGCTTGCCGGGAGTCATGGAGCACCCCCGGCAGCCACGAAAGTCTGACAGATGCAGTATTTGGACGCTGCCTTGGCTGCAGGGGCTCGTGCAGCACGACCAGGTGCGCCTCGAGCTCATCTGGCAAGCAGCTTTTGGCGCAGTGGCAGCTAAGCCAACTCATCTGCTGGTATCACATATGCCGCTGTTTCGTCATCATATCCGAGCACTGCAGCAGCCGATACGTTGGCAAGAGCTAGAGATCTTACAAGGGCGTGATTCCTCCGGAGCTTGGCGCACTGCCAAGGCCAAAGAATACCCCTCCAAACTCAATGAAGCCTTGGCGTTGGCCCAAGTCTTGAGTGTGAAAACTTCGGCTCGCCCTCGGTTGCAGATGTCCGATGAAGATGCAGCAGCGATCAGCACCATGTATGAAGCTTTGGCGCGATACGATGAGGAGACGACTATGCAGCCGGATTTTATGGGTCACGCCGCTCCACGATGATGCTGACCCAGTTGGAGAAGTTGAATTTGTTTGTGCGTGTGTTTCACGAAGCTCGCGAGATGTCTCACAGAGAGCTAGCCAAAGTCAAAAAAAAAAAGTATATAATTCATTTTTGCTCCAGCAAAAGGAACATCTCAGGAAGCGTAACCGCTACCTGTCGTGACATGTTCTGTTTAAACCTCACCACCTTCAAGTTGGAACGATCGAACGCTTTCACTGCAGGTCCTTCCTAAAAAAAAGGGGGTCGGCGGCACCAGGGCGAAGCCCTTACAATTTTTGCTGTGCTGGTTTGCCCTGTACTACACCAATACTGCACCCCCACAAATGGCAACCCTAGCTTGTATTTGCCTAAGGAACCACGTGAAAGAACACGGTTTGGTTCGGGGAGCACAACCGAACCAAGAGAGGCTAGGTCGTGACCTGAAAAGGGACCCTGCTACCAGGACCGAGGTGTCGAAAAATAGCCTCTAGAGGTGAGTCCGGGAGTGTTCCAAAACCGGTTTCGGTGCAAAAAAGCCCTGCCTGGGCCCGATCCGGGATTCACATACCCTCCTTTCTAGGGTCATTAGTTGGCATGTCCCATTTTCTAGGGTACTTGAAGCCTGGTCCAGGTACCAGCATCAGATCCAGCATCACCTTGTGGGTCCTTTCCCGCCTGTGGGACAGCCACGTGGCGTTGCTTTTGAATGGGCACCTGTACCTGGTCGCTGTCGCATCGTGCGGGTCTGCGGCAAAAATGCTGTCTGCAACAGCACATCACGGAGGTGGTGACGGGCGGTTGGATCCAAACGACGCCCTGATCAGAAGTCTGACCTATCTCAGGAAGTATCCCTACTATAGTAATAAGGACGCTATGCTCGGTGCATCGCAAGTAGGTTGGAGGCCATCGCTACGAACGGAACAAGAAGCTATATTAGTAGCTTCCCCTGTTTTGACAGTCCGTAGCCTGACCACTAGAGCCTCCCAAACTGGAGGGTTTGGGCAGGGGCTTTAGACTCGAAACAAACCTTCACCGGTTGAGGGTACCATGATTCGAACAGGGACTAGCTGTGCACACTCCATGGAATATGCCCACATTGACCCCAGAAACCGCTCCTGGCCGTTTCTCGGTCTGTCTGAGGCGGGCGAAGGACACGACACCAGTCCCAAAACCCTTTGGGCGATGCCGTTTCAAGATGCTACCAGCAGTCACGTGTATACGGGTGCTATGGAGGTTCAGGGTGCCCCAAACGTCACATCCGGCAACGAACCCAACCACCCAGGCCCTCCATGTGACTGATGAGGTCTCTATAGGTTTCTAGATGCCCCCTTCTTCTTCAACGCCTGGTAGAAACTGCTTGGGGATGGAGTCCGGACCTGGGGCCCCACACGGCCCACCCAAAAACCTGGTTGTCCCTAGCAAAAAGCAAGGTTTTTGTGCAAACCTTTGTTTTTTCATGGGACATTGGTGACCAGGCCCCTGGGATGGAGTCCGGAACTGGTTGAAAAAGAAAACACACGTCCCACACACCTTGGTCCTTCGACCTCCCCCGTCGCGGAGAGGTCATCTCCTCTCTCCCGGAGGCGATGGCCGGCGATGGCTTCGATCCGGTCGACCCGGTCGCGATGTGGGTTCTCTTCATATCTCGATTCCGAGCTCCTGGCCTGCCTCCGTTTCGGTTCGCCAGTGGTGGGTGCCAGGGGGGGTCCAAACTACCACCTTTGATGGTCCAGGAGCCCTGCTCGGTCTAGTCGAGACTTCGCATCTGAACGCATCATCCAACTTTGTTCCAACCGTCGGACCATTTTTGTCGTCGCGGGCGGCGGAACAACAAAAAACAACACATAAAAAAACGTCATCCCGACCGCACCAACGAATCGACTCGAGACTCAGTGCGCACGGGATGATCCTCGTAGTCGATCTTGGGCACCTGGATGGCGGTCACGGGATGACCCGGTATTAGTGTGGTTGATCATGGCCCAAGACCCGGTATTAGTGTCCACATGTGTCAACAGAACACATGTTGCTGGCTGGGATGCTTTTTGGAACTTCATGCTGCACATCGGTGACCGTCGCCACTGTGATCCTGTGATGAACTGGGGGGGACCATGTGAGCGACCGATGCTGATGCACCCCAGTGGCGATGAAGATTGGATAAGAGTAACAGTTGTACCCATGGATGAACACTCAGAACATTGAGTTTTGAGGGTTTGAGAAACAGTACCTGAAGTCTCCAGTTAGTGCCCCAGAAGATGGTGACCATGACTCATGATGACTCATGAACCCATGTAAATTAGACTAGCAGGTAAATGGACCCGACGCACCCAGTAGCCTAGAATATCGGAGGTACAACTGTACTCATTGTCCGAGGTGCTTTCACAGGTCAACTTCAGGTACGACTGGTGCCCCATGTTCATCCCCTCTTGACTCCTTCTGGAGCCGCAAGCTCCTTCTGTCCGCGCCGGCACCGCGGCCTCCACCACTTTCTGCACTTTCTGGACCTGCCGTGCGGCATGAAATACATGGCCCTTGTGAATCTGAATCGCTCAAAGATCATGAACCAAATCAGGCCCTATAGGGATCCACATACCCTCTGAGAAGGTGATATGTTCGACACTGTTGTGTGGGTGCCAGGAGGCTCCAGTCGTACTGAACCTGAGGTTCGGTACGATCGGAGGCGTACTTCCAACCCTGCCGATTCCCCTGCCGCAGCACCAAACGGCACCGACGCCGCCGGTGCGGATTCGATGCCGGAAACCCGGACGGAAGACCCGGTGGAACACGTTGGTCTCCAACTTCTCGACGCGTCGCCATAAATGCAGCGGTTCGGTGAATTACCCACCTGCAGCGGTTCTTCAGCTTGGACCACCCGCCTGACTAGGACTAGATAGCTCTGAATTCTTGACATATTTCCTCACAATCCTAGCCAAAAACCATCGGAAAACTAGGAAACGTCAAAGTCACCCCCTTCGTAGCAGATTAGTAATTTTGGACCGTTGATGAATAAAACCACCTGGTACTGAGATGTCAAGCCATTCTTGGGGGGTTGGGTCTGCTCAAGAAGTGTCCAAATCATTCCAAACGTGCGGTGTGTCTGTTGCTGAAGAGATGAAGATGTCATGTCGTCACATTTTCGTGGCAGGTGCAGTACTTGCAGCACTCGCAGCACTCGCAGTGCGTGTTGGAGGCGTCGAGTTGAATCTTCGTGGCAGGCGCAGGGAGTTGTGAGGTTGCGACGTTTGGTAGAGGTGAATGTCGCTGTGACAGTGGGATTGGGTGTGTCCGGGGGTCTGGTTTTTAGGGTCTGGATGGGCGAAACTGCTTGGCAGGGCTGCTTGATGTGTTCGCTCTGATGAGACTTCCGCTTCACTTTTGAAGGACGTCTTACATGAAACTCTCGTTTTAGAGACTTTGACATGTGAATTTGGATGTCTCGGAGACTTTGGAGGAAGCAAGAGTGTCCCACAAGAGTGTCCCGCAAGACTGAGTGTCCCACAAGAGTGGGCCTTTATGGCTCGAAAGACACTGATCCGGTCGAGCAACACCACTGGTGCTCTAGTGGGACAATCGCGATGACTGTCGGCTTGAGCCCCGGTTCCGAGGAGAAGGGCCGAGAGCCTTAGCCCAAAGCCTATAGTCATCCCAGTCTGGGTAACGTGATTTCTCCACTTCTCCTCTTCAAAGCCGTGGCGCTTCGTGTTACAAAGCCATGCCTTCGCCCTGTTTGCCTTCGCCACCGGAGCCGGCGTTCAAGAGTTCTGCATGGGAAGGGTGCCTAAATCAAAGAGCAGGCGCAAGCCGACCCCCTCCCTGCCCTACATCTCAGATGTGTCCCCTTAGAAAATGCTGAAGAAACGCTTGTGAAGCCACCTTGGCCGTCATTTGCTGCCGGTGCCATGTCCAGACTCAGTGGCACGTCAGTCCTGTGCAGGCCAACAATCCCATACGCGCTTTCTTGGGCTCAGACTTTCAGGGGCCGCATACAAGACAGTCTCCTACAAGAGTGTCAGAGTGTCCTACACTAAGTGTTCCACAAGTGTTGTCCAGACCGGAGCTTTCCACGAGAGCATCACACAAGAGTGTCCCACAAGAGGTTTCCTACTCAAGAGTTTTTCCACAAACGTGTCCCACAAAACAGCGTCTCCTACCTGGACCCTCCAAGGGGTGCCCATAGGTAGTGTGGGGTAGTCCATTGGACACCCCTTGGAGGGTCCTGGTACAAGAGTGCCGCAAGAGTGTTCCACGAGAGCGTCCCACGAGCCACACCTCGTCGAATGCCTTCTCTCGTCAGCTGAACTTTCAATGCCAATCAATGTTTTCGAGCGCGTGCCAAGGGAGGTTGAACAGCCCATCCATCGCCCATCCTATGTACCACAGACCAGGGTCTTAGTTCAGGTCTCTCTGTCTCCTTGCTCGGCCGGCCGTCTCCCTCCGCCCTCCCGGGCGCCCCCCCCCGGAGGGGCAACACGCGCCCCGCCCCGGCGGCCTGAGGGAGCATCACAGGTTTCCTGAGCTAGGGGTCTGGTCATGGCCAAGTGGAGTGGCGCGACGAACGGCCTTACATACGGAGCGATCGGACGCGACGAACGGGGCGAACCTGGCATCGCAACTAGGAACAAGAAAAGCTAATTACTAGGGATGTATAGGGGCTCTTGGCCAAGTGGAGGTTCAAGTCTCCCGATGCCACACGAAGGCGGGTTCGACAGGGCTACTACCCCAACACTGCACGTCAGGAAAGGAACCCAGGTCGAGGAATCAGGCTTGGAGGTGTACACGCACCCTGGATGAATTAATTGGCAAGAACCCAAGCACAAGGGGAAGGACTGTAGTCACAACTTCTTCAGGGTCCGATTCTCAGCTGAGCGAATCGGTTCTTGCAGATTCACAGCGCGAAATCACTGGGAGCTGCGAGCTGAATCGGCCTCCGAGTCGCTGCTGGAGATGTCACACGTCTCTCGAGATAAAGAAAACGGACCAAGAACCGAAACCAGCACCCGACTTCACAGGTCACCTGAAGCCTTTTAAGTCTCCATGTATGTCGCTATGTCGCTGTCGCCTCCGGACCTGTTGAACCATGCAGGTGGGTATGCACCGTTTGAACCCATCAAAGCCAAGACTTCTGGGGCACTGCTGGTAGCATTCTTGCAAGACTAAAGTAACCTTAAACGATCCCATGGACCCTGAGAACCGGTTTTGGGGGTTACATGTGGTGTGAGTGGGAAAGTATGTTTGCATACTGTTACTCAAATGTGCAGGCTGGACCAAGCTTTCTAGGTGGAACACCTCAATCGTTCGTGCGGGCCCTGGCATGCTGTCAAGTAGCTGCACAGGGACTTCAATGAACTTGTCGATGTATTGTATTTCGGGCACCTGAACCGCGACACATCTCGTCCCTCGTCCCTCTCGCGTGAAACAAGGGGGCCTCAAAGGAGGCCATTCAGCACCTGTCTTGTGTATATCGTAATCAAAGACCTGTGTTGGGTGGATGACAATAGATATTCGTAAGTCTTGGGGATGGGCACCAGTGAAGACATGCGTTTCAGTTTTGGAAACAGACGCAACGTTGTGTGGTGGATGATTAATATATGTGTTTTCACCAAGTAGCCGATGATAATCAAAATCAATTTCCTCATCACGTCTCAGAGGAAACCTTTGTAGTTAGTCGGCCGGCGCCGAGGTGTTCCTCCGCGTGAGATCAACTTCAATCAAAAACCTTATTTTCACCAGCCCTGCAGGTGTTCCTTCGTAAAACCATAGTGGCATACACGAGTTTACTGGCTGTTGCTGATTTACTGGTTTACACAACCCCCAAAAAACACCCAGACGCTCCGTGAGTGAAAACCGCCCTACTTCCGGTCCCTACTTCAACCGGATTGGTGAGAAACCCCTGTTCGCCCAGACCCCTCGATCGAGGATTCGGGTCCAGTATATTGGATCTATCAATTCTATTGGCAGGTTTCAGTGGATGATGATGGTTATGATTAATAGTTAATTAATAGTTCATAGTAGTTAGTCATAACTGTTACTGCTAATACAACGCCGCCAACCTATACACATCTAGTTTTCCAGGGGCCCCACAAACCATCAAAAACCTGGTTTTCCCTAGCACAAGACATGTTTTTTGTATGTGAAAACCTTTGTTTTTAATCGTTTGGTTCGGGCCCCTGGTTGCTACAACATTTGAACCCAACCGATTCCAGCCACGAGTCAAATGGGATGACACATTGATCCTCACCTCCACGCTCCGCTGCATGGGCACAGGAACTGGCACCTGGGCAGGTCCCGTGGCAGGAATCCAACAAACCGCGCGAAACAGTCGTACCGTACCTCCGTTTCGATATCGGTTGGAGTGGATTAGGGTGGTCTGGCTACCGAGCCGGAGCTTGGCAGGGAGCCGGATTCGTCATCCATTGCCCACGTGGCTTTGTCCTGAGTCATGTGACAGGATAAAGTTGAGGCCCCCAAAAAGAAACGGTGCACACATGTGAAGTTGGTGCCCCCGGGAGATCCCCAACCAATGGCTTTTGGTCTCTTTTCCCTACCAACCAAGGGGGTCGAATCTTTGCGAGGCCTCCTTATTTGAGCCAACCCCACATGGAACAGCAAAGGAAAGAATCACCACCAGCACCAGCATCCCTCCACTGATTCCCTCAGTTTCCCTTATCATCCCGGCAAGAGACCCCAAACAGTGTGAAGTTCGAAAAGGACGAGTCCGAGGTAGAGCACCCACGATCACAGGGGAAGAGAAAGTAGACGGAAAGTCGTTCGAGGTAGAGCACCCGTGATCTCTACTTCTAGAGGCCTAGAAACAAGGTCGGGAAAGCGGTTCAAGTAGAAATAAAGAGATATCTAGATACAAAACCCTATATATGCCTAGATCCAAAAAATTAGTTGTGAAGGTCTCCAGGTCTAGAGGTCTACAAATCTAGAAATCGAGAGAACGATCTGAAGGTCTATAGAGGTCAAAGGAATTATATAAGAGATCTAAGCCGAGTGTTTCGATGCAAGAGGTCTTAAAATCTAGATCTAGGTCGCGAGGTCCAGGGGTCTAGCGATCTAGAGGTCTTGAGATCGAGAGATATCAAAAGCTCTCTGCTAAAGGCCTAGCGACAATAATAGTCTCAAGGCTAGGGTTTGAGAGGTCTGGAGATCCAGAGGTGGAGGTCTAGAGAGCGCACATATGAGAGCACAATCATCAGAACACGCATCCGAGAGCACGCGTCAGATAGCACAGAATGCGATCTAGAGGTCTTGAGATCGAGGGGGATGATTTGTGTATGGGCAAGCCGACAAAGTTCATCAGTTTCGGATCAAGGAGAAGTGCAACCGGAACAAGTGCTGATAGGAGAGAGGGGGTAAGTGCGATTCCAGCTACAGTGCCTTCCGTTGAAGCCAAGTTGATGTGCCAAAAACGAAAGGAGGAGACCTACGTATAGTTTCCAGCCGGAAAAACCTCGTATGATATTTGCACGGATGCGTGGCAGCAATTCCAACAGACCCAGTGAAGCAGACCCAGGTGAGCAATTGTTAAGTCTGCTCCTCTCGAAAACAGACTGAGGAGTTGCCAAATAGCATCCCTTGACATACTGTTCATTTTCATCTGGGGGGATTCGATGCGCAGGGGCTCTTTTCGCCACCTGCAGAAAAAACCATCCCATATTGCACGACGCCCACGCTTCTGCAACGTCGCAAGTCAACGAGCATTGCTTCAACTGAGTGTGGGTCTCTTGCAGGCGTTGGAGATCCTGGAGCTCTTGCCAACGAGCTTTGCATTGTTCGACAGAAAAGCCGACTCGCCTAACTACATAGGTCCAGTTTGGACGCAAGTGTGGATCTCTTTTCAAGTCAACGAGACGGCAGTCAGCCTCGCCATCCCAGTCAACCCAATTTGCTTCCTGGTTAAGCCGTGGAGGTGCTCGCCGCTTCCTGGCGCAGCCATTGCTGTAGTAGCAACGCATGGCGTCAAAAATTACCTTCGACAAAGGCACGACACCTCTCGCCATGCCACACTCCCCTGGGGTCGAACCACCATGGGTGTTCTGATCCGTCTAGCGGGGAGACGGGCGCCTTGGCCTTTAGACCACTGGACTCAGCGACAGAGAGTATAGGTCGAGATCACATATTTTAATCAATGCGCTATGACTCAGGCGGACGGCCAAGCCCTACTACAGTGACAGCTGCCAGTCGCACTCCAACAGGCTCTCTGGCTGCAGCGCGAATCCAACAAGTTGCTCCAGCTTTTTGATATCTGCTTTGGACTGGCGAGTGCTCTGTATAGAAGCAAGTCGTCATACAACTGGCTCAGCCATGCTGATCATATACAAAGCAAACGCTTGCACAGAATCACTGGCAATGCTGAGAAAATAGTGATTCCGGTTAGGGGCTGCACTCTGCTTCATCACAACGTTTTGACAAAGCACACAAGGTTTCAAGCCCGCAGCACCCTTTGCCTAGAACGGTTTGGCAATGGCATCGTAATCGCTCACAAGTGCAAAAAGGTTGAGTCCAAAGTGATTTCCTTTGATGCCTGTCCTCCGTAGCCCTTGCGCCTGCTACGACAAGTGAGGGCTCAAGTGACCACCATGCCCGAAAATGCGCACAGCACCACAACGAGAGCGCAGTCGCCACATTTTGCGAGCCTGCGCAGTCGAAATGCACTTCGAGGATTTCGAGAGGCATCAATTAATGTACTGTATAAATAGCTACGAACTAGCCGCACACGAATGACACCTCGATTAGGGACCGGCCCTTAACTATTGCCGTAAGAACCCCTAGTGTGACCACACTGTTTTGGGAACAAGAATAGTTAACCTTGTTCTATCTCTTCTTACCACACATGCGAGCACGCTTCGCAGGCACCAAACATTCTGGATCGAACGCCAAAGGGAGACGGGGTGTTCACACCCGGCAGATGGAAGCCTGCCATCATAACCCAGTACACCAGGCATGTCAATGAAGACGCACCATACCATCCCCCCCAAAAGGAACCATGCATATTTGTTGGGAAACCAATCCCCCCCCCAAACAGGTTTTGCAGGCGATCCCACTTTTCCTGAATAGGTCCAGGTGCACGTTGCCGACCTGAGGGTTCTTTCAGCCCACTCTGACAAACACACATGGAAGTGGAACATGGGACTCTGGAAGATTGTCCCTGTCCAGTGGTGTCCGTACTTGGGAAGAATAGATGGGTCGGTTTAACTACCATTGACCTATTGGTTGAGGGATCTTGAGGGTATCCTCTCTATAGTAATCAATCAACTCATAGTAAAAGACCATCTATGATACTGGCCTCTACAAACACTGGGGAAAGCCTCTCCACCTCCACCTCTACTTCCGGGGTCCAAGTGTAGGTGGCCGGTCACCACAGAGGTGGTTGTCGGTTCGCTCGCTCCAGGCCCGCCGATGCTTTGACCTGCCCTTCTCACCACGGCCCGGCCCGCCGCCCTCGCACCTGCCGATGCCTCTGCACAGGAACCTGGCGATCTGTTTTTTTTGTCAGATGGCCACCAGCTTTCGGAAGTCGGTGCTGGAGGGTGATCGCTCCAAATCAATATAAAACACGATTCCTTGCTCCTGATTTGAGCAAGTCCTACATTCTCCATTCGGGGGCACTCACTCCCCTTTACTCTTTAAGTGACAGGGACTACTGGGCTGACAGGGTTGAGTCCTCTCCTTTCGAAAGATCCTCTGAGCCGGAGCGAGTCGATGGGAGTATAGAAAAACCAAGTCGAACGTATCATCACTCCTTGCAGGATTTAAACAGTCGGTCCTGGCGGCCAAAAGAGTATTGCATGTCCCGTCCCTCATGCGTCATGTCATGGCAGTAGATATATATATATATACCTGGACCCTACAGTCTCCGATCACCGTACCTGAGAAGGCACGAGTGGATAGACCTTTTTAGAGTAATATATGGTGTTTCAACAAGCGGTGAAACCGAAACCACCAAAAGAACTTCCCTCCTCAGGAAGGTGGTTCCGCCACCTGGAACCCGCCTCCTCTCACCCCAAACACCGCCCTTCTTCAGCCCTCGCCAAACCAAAGTTTTCCAAATAATCAGGTGCTTGGACGTCCATGCGCGTACCAACGGTCCATTGATGTCCACAACCGGAGTACACCTCCGTCAAAAACACATCGCACGATCTCGTATAGTGAGCGATCCGCAATCCATTGGACCTGGATTTTGGCAGTGTCAAATCCTTAGTAAAACTGTGACCTGGAGTATGTGGTCGTTTTTTCTAATGAATGGTGATCTTTGTGGCAAATCCTATAGGCACGGACTTGCGGCCCTTCGAAGCAGCGCTTCCGCCTGGACCTCTTCATCCACGTATTCCACTTGTGGCACCTCCACCGTCCTCCGGAGGCCGTGGCGCTCGGATCGAAAGCACCGACCGATCCCCCGTCCGCTGGATCGACGCAGATCGGCGAAGAGTCGCCCGATGTCTGTGGACTGCCGAGTGGTGGGGGTCTGGGGCGGCATATATATGGCAGTCCCATTAGTCGTCGTGACTGGGGGGAAAGGGATGTTTCGTGGTCTCCCGCCGATGTGTGACACTATGAGTTGGGCCCCACCATGGCCCATCCAAACACCTGGCTTTTCCCAAGCAAACACACGTTTTTGTTGGTGAAAACCTTTAATGACTACAAAAAACCTTTAATGACTACAATAATTCAGAAACAATTGCACACATTCAACAACTTCTCCTGGAGTGGATCCCTGAAGGGCCTTTTTGGAATTTTGAGGGACATTTATGGCCAGTGGTAGCTCAGGCTTGCCCAGCCGGGGGTCAAATTGCTAAGTGCGTGTGGCTTTTCTTCCAGCAACTTCAATGGCGACATCCAGATATGTCGCGTCAAAAGGATGATTTCGGAATGAATCACGTGGTATGAACTTACCATTCATTTTACATCATTTTACGTTATACGCAGGAAAATGTCTTCCTGTTTGGGTTAAACATAAAGATCACCACCATGCCTTGCCGTACGCGTTCGATTCCCCAGAGGTTGCAATATTAAAACCCGAGGTCCGTAGTTTGTGGCATCAGACCCACAACTTTCGTGCCGTCGTCAAATATCTTGAAAGTTCCACTGGACTACACCTGTATATATCCAAGATATAAAGAATCTGGCGCATCCACTATGATTCGTCTTGGATTTCACCGCAGTTTAGTGGGGGGGCATGGCGTCTCGACCAAAATTACCTCAGAAAGATTTGGCATTAAAGATTCTCTCAGACTATGCATCTCTGCCGGGCCAACGCTATCCGCTCAATGTTCGTGTCCCTTTTCAATCCTAAACTGGATGCAGCATGTATACCAGACCCAGGCCCGCCAGATATTCCATTCTCCGATAGACACCACTTGTATCAAAGAGTCCCTAAATGTCTCCGCAGCAAGAAGTGTTTGTCCACCCTCTCGCTCAATACCTGAATTAGGAATTTGCACTCTTTTGTGTTAATTCACACCGACATAGTGTGTACTTCCGTGCACGTTTTTGTTGCATAGTTTCTTATGTACATCCTCACCTCATGTACCCCCTTTAAGGGAAGGGCAGTGAGGCGCGACACAGACATGTGCGCAAGGTGTGTGTGTTGGTGAAAACCTGTGTTTTTCATGGTTTGGTTCGGGCCCCTGGTATGAGTGAAGCGAACGTGACGGTGAAGCTGTGTTCCGTCTGCTTTCTGGAAAGGGTGATTGAAATACTTCCCAGACACGACCCATGGGACTGCCATATACGCCGATCAGTTGGGGTGGTTTTGGGGGTCAATGTAGGCATATATGGCAGTCCCATGGAGTGTCTGGGCTTTGGTTGAATGTCTTTTTCAACCATAAGAATCCTTGGGCCCTCCATGAGATGTCGGTTTTTAAGCTGCTGTAGCCGGTCAACTCGAAGAAGAACGTCTGGCAGCAGCATTGTGGCCCCGATGTGGGGCAGTTCAGCGATCCTCCGTCGCTTTGAGCTGAGAGGTTTCACGCGGAAAACTTTGCGGGTCCATTGCCCTTTGGCTGAATGCCGATGTCGCCAGACATCTTCCACCGTCAAAGTCATGGCCTCGAGATTGCTGAGGCAACGGTCATTGCTGGGCCATCCAAACCGAGCTTCCAAGTCATCCACAGGACGCCCATGTGTGCGGCGTTTCTTGCATTGCCAAAAGAGGTGTCGAAGATCTGCCTGCCTGAGCCTCTTCAGCGCAAAAGGGGCACCGAGCAGTGTCGTTGGCGACATCCTTCCGCTTGGCAAAACATGCAGGGCTGACAAAACTGCCAGTCAAAATAGCCACCGTAGCGCCGCTGGTTCTCTGGAGAATCTTGCGCACCACTGTGACCCGTTCCATGTCATAGGTTACGAAAAGGTAGAGCATCACGTCTAGTGCTGGCTGTGAATTTATTCCACTGCTGAAGGCGCCAGCTTTCTCTCAGCCAGTGGGCAAGTGTGTGCTTAAACATGGAGTCCGAAAACTGCTGTAACCGCCAGGCGAAGTCGAAGGCAGGGTGCCTCCACCAGCCGCCCCTTTGGATGTGCCATCCCAACTGAGTCAAGAATTCTCGAGCACTTTGCGCCAGGATGCTAGCGGCATTTTGGGCTGGACTTCATTGTTCTGCCGAGAGCCTTTTGCCCCAAAGTGTCACCTGCTTGACCCCAATGACCACATCGAGGCTGCGAACGGCGCCAAAGAGCTTCTGGTGCAGGTGTTTTGAGCCCGTGCTAAAAGCTGTGCTGGTGCTGCGAACTGTAGCGGTGAACCTGTCCAATTCAGCCGTTGAAGGTGTAAAAGCCACCCAACCATAGCTTGCTTTACTCGCTGCCAGGGAGCGAGCTGCATGCAACTTTGTTTGGTAATCCGTAGGAAGAAAACGGATTTTGGCACAAAGTTTTCCTGCTTCCTCCAAGCGCTGCTGCTCTTTGGGATGGACTTGTCGGGGCGTCCCTGTTGTACAGGAACCCAGGACGCATGCTGAGGTAGTGATGGAAGATTGAAGGTCTGGCCGGTGCTCGAGCTGTTGTTCAAGTGCTTGCCGTGCAGCTTGTGTGTTGTATGTGAGCTGAGTTTTGGCGATGTTCTCTTTCAAGCCAATTGCTGTGCTGAATTGGTGCCATGTGTCCAATGTGTGGAGCAGCAACCGAGGGGTGTTGCTACACCAAGTGCGGTCGTCCATGTAGACCACATGAAGCCTTTCACCAGAAGCGCAAGGGCTTTCTCGCTCCACAAACCGCTGGCCAGCCCACATCAGGATATTGAGGGCAAGTGGAGACATAGGGTCACCCTGAGGGATGGCAATGGATGTGTGTAAAGGATGTTGGTAGCAGCTCTGCCTCCATTGTAAGATCCGCTTTTGGTTGGACCATTGTGCTTGAAGGACATTTGCCAAACCGTGCGGGAGCCCGACCTGTTTCATAGCAGTGGTGATAGCTTCTGGCAGAACATAATCGAAAGCTAACGAATAATCCAAGCTGGCAAGGTAGCCTTTTGAACGGAGGGCATCAGCAAGTTGAGAAGCCAATTCTTCTGTTCCAGCGCTGCCTGGGCCACCGACAATGCTAGGAGGAAGTGTCTGGGTGCGCCAGGAAGTGATCAAGGTACTTCGAGCCCAAGTACTGCTCCACCACCGATAGAACAAGCTGTAGACATTGATTGGACGAAGGTCCTTGGGTGCTGTAGTCCCGTTGTGTACAATGGCTGGTTTTATCAGGTTGATTTGGCGACTGAACTGCAAAGAAGTGGGAATTCGGCCAGCCTGTTCCCAAATGTGGCTGATGTTGCAAAACCACTCATCGACTGGCGCCGGTAACCATTGCAGCTCTTCTGCAATCCAGCCGTCAGGCCGAGCTGCTTCTGCTGCTGCATGACCGGTGTCACCACGACTGTGATCTGGGTGCACCTCCTGACGTAGCATGTGATCCTTCGATGCCAAATCAGGATTCTGAAATTCATTGCCAGCTGGTCGTTTTGGCTTCATAGTTCCTGAATCTGTAGCTTTTCTCTTGCCAAAAACATTCCCCAAAGGCAAACTCATCCTCGTAGGTCTCTGTGCTTGTACTGCTGACACACTGTTCCATACTGCATGATCCAACGTGAACACATTTGCACTATCTTTCTCATCATACACACGCAATGTGGCTGGATTGATCAACCTTTGCATCCGAATTGGTACTTGGTCACCACCACCGGCTGCTAGAGGTGTGTATACATATGCAATTGTTTGCGCATCATCAGGATCAACTGACGTAAATTGTGATGGTCGAAAAATTCCGTCATCAACAACTTCTACACGACAGGGGTCCGGACCCGGTTCCAAATCCCGATGTGTTTGCTTCGGGTGGCTGTGGGTCAAACCTGGAACCAGGACAAATGAATAGAACAAAGCAGTAGGGCTCAAGGAAACATATCAGGGTGAAACGGGCTAAAGGTCTGGACCCACAGCGGTCTCCAGACTGTTTGACACCTTTCGAGACTGGATTGCAGTTTTGTTGGACCTTGGCAGAGGAGTTGCAAGATCACCTTGACAGCTCCGAATTAGGTGATGGGCAATTCCCGTTTCGTCAGGTCGAGCCACCGCTTCTCACCCGCTTCGAATCCGGGAAGGTTTGGTGTCCAAACCCTTGCTCAGAGGTCGGGCCCGAACTCGAATTTCTTAGGGCAGTCAAAAAACATAAAGAACACACCCTCTCTCACCTCAAGGCTACCTCTAGGGGACCCTAGGCTGCAAGGCTACCTATAGGGACGCCTATAGGACACCCTCTCTCACCTCAAGGCAAACCCCTGGAAATCGGGACCCTACTACCCTGCTACAGCACACCGACAGCTGGCCCCGACACCGACAGCTGGAGCTCCTCTCGACGGTCTTGGGCACCTTGATGAAGTTCTCCTTCTGCACGGGGACGTCCACCTCGGGACGTGGATCGATCAAAAGGCCGGCTTCCGATGGCAGTGAGAGATCAGGTGGTGAAATCGTTCTTGGAGCTTTTTGGTGCCAAAGCCCCCCGCAAGAACACCCCTCCAGAAGGTGTAATGGCTTGGTTATCCTCGTCCAAGAACAGTTGGCTGGAGTGAGGCTTTGCTGTGAAGTCGGCTGGCCCTCGAACCACTGGGCGGGAGTAGGGTCTATCCTCCTGTTCCAATGAATAATGGTGAATAAGCAAAGCCCTCACCCAACAGCGCGATTGTCTTCTTATCTGCTGAGCCTGAGCCTAGTAAATAGCTAGGACAAACCCAAAATTGAAGCTCCAATATCACCCAAGCACACATATGCCTATAACATTGACCCCAGGTCAACCGCTCTGGCATGGCTAATTGAAGTGGCGAGTCGCTTGGTCAAAGCCTTTCGGTCAACTCGTGATCGGGGTCGACTTGGCCGGGGTCCACGGCCGACTTGGCGACTTGGGATCCCAACAGAACAACGAGCATCTTCGGACATGTCTGTGCAACATGGAACCCTGGACACCCAGTTCAAACCAGAAACCAATAGATCCCCACCCGGACCCTCCTGTCGGGGTGCCCTGTCTGGAAGCCTAGTGCAGTAGTGTGGGGTAGTCCAGCCAGGACACCCCTTGGAGGGTCCTGGTATTAAAGAAGATCAATTGCCATAATGGAACAACCATGTGTTTCTGGTTCTTTGGCTTCCCAGGACCAACTCTTTGGAGTGTGCCGCTCCAATTCCCTAAAGTTTCCTGATATATATATATATATACAATATACATCGTATATGTGCATGTATGTGCAGTGTTTTGTGGTTCACTCACTTCTTCAAAAAGAATGCTCCTCGCACTCCGCTCCACGCAGTTTTACCTGGCTCGGACAGCCGTTCTCAAGCTCTAACAGGCATGGCGGGGGGCTCCCGGGCCTCCCGTTTTCGGTCTCGCCCGCTCCCGCCTTCCCTTCTGCATTCTGCAGCTCGTCCCGGCGTTCGAATCTGGGGAGTTGATGGGTACTTGTTCACCAATCTTTTTCAAGTGGACTATCATGTAAAATACTATATACTGCCATATACTACCCATGCAAAGGCAACCCTGGACCCAACTCATCTGGTCAAGGTTCTGGGGGGTTCTCACCAATTGCTAGTGTTTGAGGATCTTTGAGGGATTCCCGAAGTATGGGAAGTTTTCACAGAGCGTCTGGGTCTGGGGGTCGAGGATTTTTTCTTTCAAATCGCTTAAGAATTTGCTTCAGGCTTAGCATAGTATCAGCCAACTAGTCACCTTGACCGATGGCAGACCGCACCCGGATCGAGTCGTCCAAGCAGCGACGGATCGAGTCGTCCAACCAGGTCGGTCGAAACAACCCTGGACCCACGGGGGGTTCAGTGGTCCTTTTGCGGGCGGAAGGTCAATCCTAATTATACCCATCCCAGGGCCCCCGGAATAAAGGGGTGGTTCATGGACATCCCTAACCTCTAAGGAGCTATAATTGGACACCCCCCTGGCCCTGACTGGGGCCCTGGTATTTGACATTTATGTCTTACAATTGTTTGGAGTCATATATGGCTGCGAATCGTTCTTGAACCCACCCAAGGGGAATACAACGAACCAGTCGTCCGTCGCCGGTGTCGAGCCTCTATTTTCAACTGTTCGAGGTCCCTCCCTGCAATCGCCCTCGACTGGCCACTGGCCGTCAGAGATGTGTTAATTGTTGGACACTCAAACTAATAAGTTGGCGTGTCTTTTAGTGGAGCCATCCTCCATACCACAGAACTCCAACCGGAGTAGCTTCACTTACGAAGACCCTAAAGAAAAGAATCCAAATGGCTGCACGATGGGAGGAGAATCATTCGCTGAACCCACTTCTCCTCTACCAGGCGGAGGTCCTTCCATTTCGATATGACCGGTATCTTGCTGGTTGCAACACATTGTGCACATCTCTAAGGACGGAGTTGCTGAACATGAGAAAAGAACAAGGACAATGAAGAAATATCTTTGAGTGGTGTGGGCTTCTGACGTTCACACAAACCAGTGTTCCTCCCACTGTTCTTCTCTTCTGGGTGGACCGTGAGAACTACTGGGCTCCAATTATGGCCCCAATGATTTGAATACATAACATCGATTAACATCGTATAAATATCCCAAACACTCCATGGGACTGCCATATATGCCGCCCCATTGACCCCCAAAACCACCCCAACTGATCGGCATATATGGCAATCAATCCTATAAATCAAGCAACATGAGTACACTTTCTCAACCACTCACCGAAGTGGAGCACGGTTCGGCCCCTTGGACCAGCATTTTCTTTCTTCCCTAAGAATCGGCTAAACTAAACGCTTGCTTCGGGTGAGGACCCCCTGTGGAGAGAGGTGGAGAAGGTCTGAACTCCTGCCCATCCGGGTTCTGGGGGTGAGTGCCCTCAGCATGTCTGAAGGAGGGTATACAATGACGGCGTGTTTTGTCTTATGTCGATAGATGTCCCATATGCCGTGATATATGCGCCTCCGAAAAAGGTCGGAAGCTGAATCTCCGTGAGTGGTATGTCAGGGATTTAAGTAAGAGGGCCCCTTTGAAGGGACAGCTGTATTCCTGTGTAAAATACCCAGACACTCCATGTATGCCATATATGCCGATCAGTTGGGGTGGTTTTGGGGCGTCAATGTAGGCATTATATATATGGCATACATGGAGTGTCTGGGATATGTGTAGGTAGAGGTAGGAGGACCTACACCCTTGACATCTGGATCGGATTGCTTGAAGGCCACATCTGTGGGCTTCCGTGGCTGATTGCAGGTAATCCTCGATAAATCAATTAGCGATGACCAACAGCTGGCTGCCACTGCCAACAAAAGAAACTGCCGGGAGTTGACCCGTGGAAGTACCTCGGAAAATGAGTACAGTCGTACATATACAAGATGATCATGGTAAGTACCTGCCATGTCCCCTAGGGCTCCAACCATATCCTCAGAAGGTGGTTAGACCCCCCTGGCACCCACCCCAACCACCGAACCTCAGGAGGTGGGCCAGGAGCCCTAGGGGTCACATGTCACTCATGTCCCATGTTCCCAGGTACGAACCAAGATTCTTCCAAAGGAGTTCACCTCCGGAGTGGTCGCTCCGGATGACCCGGCTCCCTGTTAACATGATGGTGAAGAACTGAATACCGGGAGCCCTCGTGCCAAAGCATGAACCACCAGGGATACATCCGGGATACTCGTTGATGGGAAGATGGAATTGCATGCGAATGCCTTCCGGTCCTGCCTGGCCTGGACTATACCGGATAGTAGTGAGCTGGGGGATCTTCAGCCAGTGCCCGAACAGATAGTCCAGGTCTGTTTGATTCCCTCATTGCCCTCCCTCCAACCAGACCGAAGTGGATAGCATGGCGCCTGGGAAAAAAGATGACATTGATGCCTCCCATACGCATGAGGACGGACCCCATACGCATGGTTGGAGGGTGTCTGTTTGGATCTCGCCCTGAACAGGTCTGGTGCAACAACCAACCAGACCTGTGACCTGTTGTTTTGCCAATATATGTTGAGTTCTTTACACTTTTTGGTAAGCATGTCTGTCCAAAAGTTCCATATACTGTACAATGAAGAACACCCCGGACTTCAAGGACTTCTTATAGAAAAGAGATTGCACTCCCCCAAACCCATATGCCCCAAAGCCGCCATCACGAATTGCCCGTCCGGTCCCTGTCTCCCCAGGTTTGCTCTCTCGGCCGGCGCCGTGTGGTCAAAGCTTGCTCGTGTGGTCATCCCTTGGGGTCGCTACTTAGTTAGCCTCCCCTTGGCCTAGCCTGACTCTGGCTAGGTGAGAATTCAAAATGGTATTTGACCCAACATCCGTCGCTTTACTAAGGATTTACACTAACAACACCGGAGGTCAACCGACCCCCTTCTTTTTAGGTACCGGAAGACGAAAAGCAAAGGCCCACAGCAAAGGTGCCGTGCTCAGCTTCGGCTCGGGAGGAGCTTGCCAGGATTCAGGATCTCGCGCTCGTCCATGGACCTGGACGAGGTGACGAGCGACGGGGTGATCGTCCGGACGGTTCCTGGAAGTGATCGTCCGCCTGATCGGGGGACATTGACGGGTCGATGCCAGGTGCCTGGCTATATATGATATGCCCATAGAAGCACCCGGACCAGACATTTCTGCCTCAGTCCGATCTGCCCGGCAAAAGCCGCTCTTCCCGAATTTCTGCCGAATGGATCTTCTAGGTATGTTACATATATATCATATATGTTACTTCATTACACTCTGGAAAACGATCATCCCATGGATTCTAAAAACCACTGATTGGAGGAAAACAAACTTCCGGAAAAGGGCCATTGTCAGGGTCCATGTTAGTTTTTGGAAGTGTACATATGTTCACTTTGCGGGTATTCCCTCTATTAAATCAACATCAACCAACTAATCGTAAAAGAACCATGCATATCTATATGGATGGGGTGGGGTCTGGGTTCGAGGCTGGTACATTCTGGGTGGTTCTGGAACGGATACAGTTTTTTGGACACAGTGCCAGAATCAGACACCCTAAGAATCTGGGCCCGAAACCAACACTATAGGATTTGGTTCGGGTGCGGACCCCTGCCATGGAGGGCCAGTTCCGATTCTTAGAGCAGTACGGTTTTGTTTACTAGTAGTAACAAGTGCCACGCTAGTAGTAACAGGTGCCTTACTAGTAGTAACTAAGTTCGCTATTAGAAACATCTTAGGGCTGCGAATTGGGGTGACAGTTTCGCATCTTTCCGCCAAAAAAGACCTGCATGCTCCAGTGTCGAACACATCACCATCCCTCAGAGGGGTGCCAGTGGATTTTTGAGGGATACAGGTTACTACACTCCGACTCACTAACATGGAAGTGGAAAACCCACTGTTTGTAGAGGAAAGTAGTCTTCCAAGAGGCCATTTTCCACTTCCATGTTAGTGAGTCAGAGTGTAAGTCAAAAAACTGGACTCACAC